TCGTGTATAAGAAATAAGCTGGAAATTACGAATTAGGTACGAAAACCAATTCTGTGTAAAATAATTATAAAAATTTATAAGGTTAAATATTAAAATCACGGAAAATAAATATGTCATTATAAACTAAAAATATACCGCTTAACCGGGATAGTGGCCTAGCTACACTGACAGCCGTACGGAAGGGCCTGGGCTCGAATCCCGGAGAAGGCAAGAATATTTGTAAATGTATAGTGTCCGTGCGGCATGGGGGCACTCTAAATATGCGGCGAACCGAAAATCCTCTCGAGGGATTGTGGTAGGGTAAGACGGATGGAGAGGAATGGGCTTGCACTCCTTGCCACGATGTATTTCGTGGGCTTGTTCTGATGTTACGGTCAGACAAGTGAAATAAATCACAACACAACAACCCTAAAAATATAATAAATTAATTAAATTCACGGTATGTTAGTTAAAATTTTCTAAGCTAATTAAAATTGTATTTCTAAAATTAAATAAAGACATTGAGAATCAATCATTAAATTCGAAAACAAGAACATGAAGAAAAGTATAGGTATGAATAGCTATAGTTAAGCAGTTAAGTATAGATATGAAGAGGAATTAACATTCATAGGTTATCACAGTCGGAATACGAAGCAAAATATAAGTTTCAAAAGGTGAAAATGGATTAACATAATTATAAATATTATCTCTGAATATGAATGAAAGAAAATTCTGAAAAATGAATGAAAGAAAATATCTTATCAAATTATGATGTTAGGTATGTCTCATCTTGTTCCTGCTGTTCTTCTTTATCAGTTAGTGTCTTCCTTTTGCCAGCTGCATGTTGCTGCTGCAGCTGCTGTGCTCCCTCTTATCAGATGTATGTTACACCAAGCAGCGCCTGCGTTCCTCTTGAGCATTGGGCCTGTGGTCAGTTTGACAACCTGTTATTAAACAGGCACCTTTGCGCTACTGAGAGGAAAACTTCTGTTTTGTATACGATTGGATTTCCATGAGTCACGACTGCGTGCATTTCACTTGTTTATCTCTTTCGAGACACAACCACGGCTGCCCATAAGCCGTCTGTACGTCTGTTGCTAAATATTTTGTAAATTCATTACCTATTAGTTTGTAAGAATGTTAATGAGATGTGTCAAACAACGAAGAAAATTGTTAGTATCACCATGGAGGTGATAAAAAGATTGTTGAAAAGTATGAAGATGGCGTGCATATTGCAGACTTGGTTACTGCATACCTTAGGTACTATGGTGTTTATGATTGTGAAAAACAAACCCATATTAAATCGCGTAATGTTGCAAAGAGGACAAATGAAGAGTAGAGACGTTAGACCATGCCGAAAAATTGCTTTTGATCTGGATAGCGGAAGAATATTTAGGTATAGTATCCTGTGCAATCCTTCACTTATGTACGGTATATATCCTACACTTATGTACACTATTTGTATTTAGTATTGAACAGTGTCATAAAACTAACAATAGGATTTTTTTGTAAGAATAAATTAATTATTTTTCACTTGCTTCTTGTTGGAAAATTCATTTGGTATGCTTCCAAGGATCTGGAACGAATTAATGAAACATACCTAGGTATCACCATACCATATCACCTTTGCAATGTTCTATATACATTTGAGTAATTATTGAATAAGTATATAAAAAAGTATATTGTTCGACAAAAACAGACACGTGTTTCAGAAGACTTTTTTTTTATTATTTTATTTTTCAGGTTAAAAAGAAATAACTGCAGCGACAAGTATTAACTTATTTTATTACATATTTATATATCATGAAGTCATATTCAATAGAAAATCATACACTAAAATAAAACTCTGGAAAAACTGGGAAATTTGATAATATTTGCAAATAATTATCTCAGTGTAACGAGACAGCTGCGAGCAAAAACTGCCGTTGGATGATATGTCTATTTGGAATTCTTAAAAAACACTTCGCAACAAACAAAGCCTTCATTCCTTTAAACCTCTACTCTATAACAGTTAGAGTTGAAGAAATAATATATCTGATACAATTAGAGTAATTCATCAATTGCTTTTTTCTTTAAATCCTTGAAATGAAGGTAAATATATCAAGAAACAGTGGCGAACTTTCTATCATTATCTCAAGTGTTTAATAAATAGGGAAGAAAAAACCTGAAAGCTTTCAGATTTTATATTATGCCCAAAGGGACGTTTTTTAAGGTTTTGTGTGTTACCTTTATTTATTAAATATCATGTTCTTCGCACTTAAATCATAAAATTCAAACCAAAAGCAATATCGTAAAATATTTACAAGAGCATTTCTTTAGAATTTCCGATACACAGTCTCGTGCGCTGGAGATACTTTTTTCCCGTAAAGTTTTGCCATTGTTCGCTTTGAAATGGTTTTCTTAATCAAAAACTCATAAATGGTTTAGAAAATATGAAATTGTAATAAAACAAATTCCAAATTCCAAATTTGAGCTTCCAGATACCCATATTCGGGTGCAGACGTACGTTATTCAAAATTGGATGGCTCTAGGTAACGTTGTTTTATCAGAATGCAAGAAACACATTACATTTATGCAGATTCTTTATTATTTAATTTCTTTAAATATAATGCAGGGCTTTAATATTTGATAGCAACAATTTCAAAAGTGATTCGCCGTTTATAGTGAATCTACGCAAAATGCCAAAACGAAATTAATCACCCTTCTGAGCTATCGCTAATTTGGGCTAAAAAAAATAAAAATTAAAAAAAAAAAAAAAAAAAAAAAAAAAAAACTTTCATTTTTGGTTTTAATATTTCAAAGAGAAGGCTCAGAACTGATACTAAATAAGAAAATGTTTTAGTGAAAATAAATGATGATGACATCAATATTTGACACAATAACCAATCATTTGTGTTTTTGTTATTGAGATGCAAGTCATAAAAACTTTAAAGATAATGAGTATGAGGTTCATTTCATTCATTTTACGCTTAAGTATTTATTAAAAGCTAGAACACATGCATTTTCTTATTCCTTTTTATTTTATTAATCTATTTATGTATTTTTGGTTTCTTTTCCATTTGCTAATACGGCACAGTTGACTACCAAAAGTAGAAATTTTTGAATTAAATTAAATTTTATTACAGAAATAACGAATATAATTCGTTTATAAACGAAATACGAATTATAAATTATTTAATTAATTTTATTCTCTCAATATAAATTTGGAACTTGTTCAATGTAAAATGTATTCATTCACTTATAAGTGACCAACAATAAAAAAATATTCTTATATAATAAGTGAATGAAAAAACGAAAACCCTGGTAGTGATAATAACTAGTTCTGCACTGTATTAACATTTTTATCAGTGAATGATTTATTAGCATTCTTTTATTAAAAATAAATCTGGTGCAGAGCAGAACTAGCAAAAATTTGGTCATTAAAGCTTAATCGAAATTAGGAATTTAAAGTTAAGTTTTTTTTTCGAAAGCCGCATGAATTTTAATAAGATGTCCCATTTTACTGACACAATGTTAATGAATTTTTTTAAGATTGTTTTAATTCGGTCGAAGATTTTAATAATAGAATCTATATTACAATCTAAGAAGTGATATTATTCTAAATAAGTGAAATTTCAGAAACATGTTAATATTCTTTTTCAGTATGATTTATGTTAAAACTGTAAAAGTTAAAATGATATGAAACATAATTTTATTGATTTAAGGCTTATGAAAATTATGGCAATTTTTTCTGAGACTTTCAGATAATAGTAAAAAATATAATTTCGAATATATTTGGAAATTAAATGAGTTTAAACAAAACAACTCTGATGCTGGTATTTGGAATGCAACTTAAATATAAGCACCTTGATGAAAAATGAAATAGCGAAAATATTGTATTGTAAACATGTAAGTGAAAATATAAGTAATATTAAGTTATTATGTATTATATAATATAATAATATTTAGCGTAAATATGAAAGCATTATATAGACATACATAAAATTAATATAAATACAATATGTATACATATTTAGAATAAACATGAACATATAGTGTAAACATAAATAAAACTAGTGTAAATACATTCATATACACATCTCAAACATATAAATGATAATGAGAATTGGTGAACTGCATTTACATATCACTTTACGAAATATGAAAACAGAAAAATACTCAGCGTAAATATGAACACATAATATAAGCACATATAAAATTAACATAAATACGATGTATACATATTTAGAATAAATATGAGTATATAGTGTAAACACAAATAAAATTAATTAAAATATATACATATCTACACCCCAAACATGTTAATTATAATCAGAGTTGGTGTAATGCAATTATATATCATTTTACGAAATATGAAAACAGAAAAATACTTAATACTTAACGTAAAAATGAACGCATAATATAAGCATACATAAAATTATAATAAGTACAGTATGTACAAATATTTAGTATAAATGCAAGCATATAGTGCATAAATAAAATTAATGTAAATACATAAATATATACATCCCAAGTTGGCGTAATGCAATTATATATCATTTCACGAAATGTGAAAACTTAAAAATACTTAATATTTAACGTAAAAATAAGCACATAATATAAGAACATATAAAATTAATATAAGTAACAATATGTACACATATTTAAAATAAACGTGAGTATATAGTGCGTAAATAAAATTAATGTAAATATATACATGTATATGTTACCGTGAAAGACCGAAATTGGAGAATGTCGACTTTCACCGGAGAATATCAACATTCACCAAATACGTCGGTGAAAGACCGAATATTTCACTACATTCTTGTATATTCGGACCCTCACCGGTGTATGTCGACAATCACAGATATGCTCTGGTGAAAGTCGAAAAGAGAGGTCATAAAGTCCCATAATAGTTTAAGTTGTTGCAATAAATAAGATTTGAATCACATAATTTAGTAAGTTTTTTTATTACTGTTATTTTATTTTCTCATTTAGAACGTACTGTATAATTAAGTAAGTTTTTAATTTCTATTATTTTCCTTTCTCATTTTGAATGTATTGTGTGTTTTAGGTTCTCATGTTCTTAAGTTCTTATTTCAAGTCTCAAGTGCGTTTATTCACGACTGAATTACAAAGAAGAAAATATAATATTGTTATATGTTCACTGTTCACCATTAGTACAACCGGTGTAAGTATCTGACTTACACCGGTCAATGTGAATGTCGACATTGACCGGTATAAGTCAGAAATAAGAGTATTTGGAAAATATTTCGGACATACACCAAGAGACTATGTGAATGCTGACATTCATCGGTGAAAGTCGACATTCTCCAGATTTCGGTGTTTCACCGTAACATATACATCCCAAATATATAAATTATGAGAATTAGTGTAATGCATTTACATATCATTTTGCGAAATATGAAAACAAAACAAAAATAAATAAATATAAGATATGAATTTGAAATAATTATGTTTGACGAATTAATTTTTGTTGTAATATACGTGAAACAGGAAATTAAGAAACAAATTATCCGAATTAAATTATAAGGGTACATTTTTAGTAGCAGCTAAAATTATTAGCTTATTTTTAAACTTCTTATAAACAAATTTATGTTTTATATGAAATAAAAGTTATCGTTTTAGATATAGAAACCTATATCGTACCTCTCCCTCTCAGCTATCAAGTATATAAAAGAATATATATCTCAACTATCAAGTATATAAAAGAAGTGAAATTCTTTTCTGTAAGTGTAGCTGAACGTCGGAAGGTCTTCACGAACTTAATTAAAAAAGTGCAAGATAAAAAAAGAAATATTTCTACGAACAAGGTTATCAGCACGGTAGAGCAGGAGGACAGATGGTTTAAAAAAGCATTTTGGAGTTTAATATTGCATTTACAATAAAAGTAACTTTTAAAAGAGCGGTTTTCTTCCTCGACCGCCTCAGCATGTTTCTCTATAATACGAGCATATATAGCATTCAACATAATCATAATACAAATATATAAAATAAATCAGATTCTAACCGCAAAATTTGATTTTAATTAATATGATAGCTGCGCTTGATGTATTGATAGAATGTTTTTAGTATTTCATATGAAATTTCTTAACTTAATTCTTAAATCACTTTTCCAAAACTATTTAACTCTTTTCTTGCTTTCCATGATAAATTATTGATTTGACTAATCCCTGCTTCTACTAGGTAAGAACAAAAAGTCAATGATAATGATGTTGGTTTGGTAATAAATTTTACTTTGAGATATTTCGCTAGGATATCTATTAAGTTTCAAAACTTAGCTAACCCATGTATTTTGAATATAAGACTTGTGCTTGAACATCCTCTTCAATGAAATCAACTCTTCTTGCATCATAACATGAAGAACAGATATGTTGTAGTTTTGGTATATGTTTTCCCTTATATGTTATATGATTTTTTCCTTCCTATATCCCATAGCCTTATATCAATAAATATTGAATTATCAATTATGTTTATAACATTTTTATAATCAATGGGACCTTAATTACACCGGCGTATATTCGGCTACTGACCACTTAATTATCACTGATTACCTTTAAAATATCATCGATCCCCGGCAGGGTCAATACTGACCCCGCTGGGAACCCTAATCTAAATATTTGTTAATTACTAATCAAAATCATTTTTCTCAATTCTTAATTCAAATTTTTTATTACTCGAAATGTTTTTTTACTCCTTTCAAATCCGTTTTATCTAAGTTCCACTGCATCTTCATTTTTTTAGTTGCTTTTAATTACAAAAGTATGATTTATGACCTAGCCTTAACTCGGAATGAGTGTGATATAATTTTTTATCAGTATATTTAATCCAGGAATTAAATTAACACTGTCAGGCTTTATTTTAATTAACAAGATTTCGCTTGTATTAAACTCTGTCCTGTGTTCCTAATGCTTTGTCTGCTCTACCAGAATAGGCGAAAATAAGTACTTAAATTAAAGAGAAAGAGGAATAGAAACTCCAGTCGGACGTAAAGAAACGCCTCTGTTTCTGACTGAGGTGAATGATATTTCTACTAATTGTCGAATTTTCTCTTTGCATTAAATGTTTAGCAGTAGAGCGTGAAATTTATCAAGCCAAATTTTAGGATATAATTTCGATGCGTGAATTAGGAAGAACCGAATGCCGTGTTCTCTGTTATTGCTATAAGAAGTGGAATTAAAAATTTTAATAGTTCTGCAATTCAAGCAGATATTAACATTCCAGTTGTTTTATTTGCTGTGGTGTTTAATCAGTATTCTAGTGCTGTTAGTTAAAGACCAGGAAAAAAACTCCCTCTGGCATGTTAGAAGGTTACACTAGTATTTTAGATTAAGCGAAATTGCAGTGATAAGACGTCACAAAATATATGTCTGAAAAACTATAAAGTTTTATGCCTTTTACGCCATAAGTATTCTGAGACATTCATATAACTTCACACACACACCAATTATTTATAATATATGAACAAATTTCCCAACATGTAATTAAAAAGACAATACATCATAACTAAAATAATGCTATAACAAAACACTTCCATAGTTGAACAACGCAGTACTCTTTGAGATCGTCAGCAATTAACATGAGAACAGATTAAAAACGAGTTGTGTTATACATGAGTAGGAAATCTATAACACACTACACAATACACATTGCGCAAAACACACTGATTTACAATGATATTATAGAAAAAAATTCAGCACTTTTCAACAATAAACATTCATCATATTTCCAAACTGGATGAAATGACGTCACTAGATATATACGAGTATTGCCATGTACACGTTGACACTGGTGCTATGTCTATGAGGCGAACAGCCAATGACGAGCCCAGAACGGGCCCACGAGTTCTCCTTTTCAGAAGAATACACATTTTGTTGTTAGAACATTTTAAGTCGTTCTCAATATCCTTAGTTATACTATTATATCATCTATCTCTGATTTTAACAAAACGTTGCAAATTCAGAATTGTACATAAATTTTAACGTTACAAATGTCTATAATCTAGTGTTCCCATTTTCCATGGCACGTTATGCTACCACAACATTTATCATCGACGTGATCTGTCGGACTGCCAGGCTAAGTCTATAAAATAAAAATTTTCATCCTCAATTTCGACAGTGGCTGTGAACGCGGAAGAGATTTTCTGCCCCTGTGTTGGCAGGTCTTGCCAACACTGAGATAGAAAATCTTTTCTGCGTTTAATTATTCTGTTCTAATTAAGAGAGCTGTCGCCCTTCGTAAGACAAAAATCTCTTAATTTATTGTTTTATCATATTATGCTTTTTATAATTCAGCTATAATGTACATAATACTTACTCGACTATAGAATGGTTGCTTGAACATCAAGGGAACAGTTTGCGACTTTTCTTCTATCTGTTACTTAATTTATACATTGTTATATTATAACAAATTATAAGTAACCATTATTGACATGAGATTCACTTTTTTTTTCACTTTTTGTAACAGCGAGACTTGGTTATCACTTAAATTTTTTTCCATGTAAAATTTAAAGGAAAATATTATTTTTAAATCTGAAGCAAACATTTTTAGTGCTACATCTAGACTAATATTTCTAGCATTGATTTGAAAATACTGCTGTTTAAAGATATTTCATAAATTATCTCTAGACAAAGAAATTAACTGCATTAATTGGTAATTAAATCATATAGTTTAGTTTTTATAATCTGCATGTAGTTTAGAAAATAAAAATTCGGAAGTTGGAATAATAAACTACGGGTATATTATTTGTCAGTACAATGTATTAGAAAAATTGATTTTCATGTTGATATTTTGGGAGGTTGCTGAACGGATTAACTGGATTTCCATTATTTTCAACTGGTAAGTTTGTTTCTAGATACGAGAAATTCGCTATACGAGCTCAAGGCCGGAACGATTTAAACTCGTATCTCGAAGTGTCACTGTATTTAAGTTTTAGTTTTACCTAAATTACATAACTTTTCAAATTTCACCTCTTGTCTATAGTCTTTTCTATTTATTTACGAAGACAAGAAATCGTCAGAAGTACATCAAGTTTAACATAGTTTTAATAGTTAATTAGATTTAATCTTTCAGCATAAATTTTCCAGCTCTTGCTGTAAATAAAAGTTGCATTATGCAATTAAATTAATCATAAATGTTTTTTAAGAATAAAATTTGCTTTATACAGTTAACTCAAAAATAAAAATTAAATTTCAGTTGTTATAAGCACACGAAAGTATATAAAACTGACAGGGGTATCTCCAACTCCGTTTTTTTTTTCTTCTAAATCCGAAAAATTTGCTTACAAATGATGATAATTTGTCAATATGATTAAAAACGATAGAAATAGTAAAACGTTTTATTCTAGAATTATGGTTCTAAGGAAATGGTAACTGAAAACTTTTCGAAGGATTCTATTAATAACACAATGATATAAATCCTGTAACTGAGGCATTAAACACTACTTTTGATTTGAGCATATATTAAGGGTATTATTAGGCACAATATTTCTGAAAGTTAGTTTTCAATGCTAATTCAGTAAGAAAACTCTTTATATGCGTTTCAACAAGTGATTTTCTCTTTTGTTAATTTATTCTGATTGCTTTAAAGTAAGGATTCTTGAAGTAAAGGTGTAAGGTTTCTTTTAGCTAACATGTAATTTTTGTGTTAATTCTTTTCTGCAGTTTTCCATCAAGTCTTAACCAGAACCAGTAGGTGGAGTTTGGATAGCAGTCGAAAGTGTAATTTAGAGAGAAATATTTTGAAAATGCATCAAAAAGCAGTTTCTTCCATAGCCATCCACCTCCAAGCTGATCTGATTTTAGTAAATGAATCTTTCCATTGCCAGCGCTTTCTAGAAGACACAGGTAATTGGAGCTGGGTTGACTAGACACTGAAATTGAGAATTGTGTTGTATGTGTATAAATATTGGTATTTTAGCTATCCCGTAAATAACAGTTGTTAAGCTTCGTAAAATTTTAGTTGTATTCGAATTTTAGTTGTATTTAAGCTTTGAATAAACCTTCTAGTATCAACCATTTTACTTCTTCCTTGTTTTCTTAAAATTCTAGACTTTTAGTTACATGCGAAGGTAAAATATCCTCGGAAGTAAAAAAGCAGGTTTGAAAGTTAATCAGGTTTATACGGCTTTCTTGAAAATTATTTGAATTCTCAGAAGTATTTAAAATGTTAATTTTGGGGAATGACTAGGTAACTACGGCTATTATCTACACAAGTAGCAATGTATTATTGTATTCTCAAAAGCATTTCAAGGCTGTTCGTAATTTTTTTCAGTTAGGTTTTCAGTGAGAGCTTGTAAATTATTTCTAAAGTCAACTCTTCACCTTTTCATAAATCCTTCGAAAAATTTATTAATGTTTTGAGATTTTATATAAATGAATTGGTTGAATTTATTTTTTTTTAATTTGACCGAAATTTTAGATAAATAAATTGAAATGGTCGCGAAATGTTTCGTCTGAATGAATATTGCAAAATAAAAAATATTTTAGATATTCGTTTGGCCATAATTAATAGCGTTAATATTTCGAAGTCTCTGAAAGTAAATTTTAGTTTTATCTACAGTACGCCGAGTTAATAAGGACAATTTAATACTTCATTATTTTTAACCTTACACATATCCTTATAGTAAATAAGATTTTCCTTTTAAAAATTTAGATTAATTCTGTTCGCTGTAATTCTTCATATGTAATACTCTTACGCGTGGGGAAACACTTGTAGTTCGTAAAATTTGTCAGCACTTCACATATGTACACAAGTCGCATGTGACTGAATATACATGATCACATTCAAAACGATTATTTTCTATTTAACAAGGAGCTGCATATTATAAAATATTATTATGGCTCAGAATCATACGAAGTTGAAAAGCATCGTATTTCAGTAACGTGTTAATTTAAAACTTTAGAATAAATATAGTCACAGAAGAAATAAATGCACTCGTTAAAGTGAAGATGAAAGTATTGGGAGAATATTTACATACTTATATTGTGAGAAGGAAAATTGTAGTGAACAAATACAAGAGATGCAACTGCAATATTTCGACTCGAAAAGTAATAATAACACCGTAATTACCTTTTATTAATCTTAAAATATCTCAAATTTATCATTACAAAATTAATAACTCACGCCTTTCAACAAGCCATTTTGCACTCTCTCTCGTCAATGGCAACACTCACCCACATCACAAGTCACGTGGCTATATAGCAGAGGCGCAGGCGCGAGCAGTGTTTTATAATAGATTCGTTAACATAAGAAAATCAATTAAATTAAATTATTCTTAGTTTTGCAACAAAAAGGCTCTGTGTAATTCAAGGGAATGTGGTATTATTTTCGCTTTATCAGAAACATTTCATTCAAGTAGACAAAATAAAGCTATTTTTACTCCTCTAAGAAAAGAGGCCTCCAGCATTCTACCTCAGAATTGCCCATGTTTTTGTGACTAAAAATTGACCTGAATTCTAATTATCCTTTATCTTCTTGTCATTCGGTTATTTTGAAACAGGAGACCTGAAAAAATGAGCAATACCCTCGCCGGGACTCGAACTGGACCTCTCGAATACGCATTGAGTGTGCTAACGTCACACCACGAAGACATGCAGAAAGGAGAGAGAAAATACCCCTTTTAAATGGTGACTAGCCCAAATCCTGGTGGTAAAGAATCATCTTCCATCACCTTTTCAGGTCGGGCACCACTATAAATTTATAAGGTTATTTTAAGCAGGAGACGTGAAAAATGAGCAATGCCCTCCACGGGACTCGAACCTAGACCTTTTGAAAACGCGCCGAGTGTGCTACTGTTACATCACGAAGGCATGCAAAAACGAGGGAGAAAATGCCTTATAAACTCACTAGTAAACTATCATCTTCAAAACTTTAATTATCAGCAGTTATATCAACATCGATATTCATGTTGTTATCTGTAATCAATAAATTTAGGCTGTTCGTTTTATGTAAGTGTAAAAATGGAATGACAGAAAATCTTCCCAGATTATAAACATGGAAGGAATTTGGAAATATGCAATTTTTAAATCAAGATGGCAAGAAACATTCTATGCTGTACACAAATATATTAATTGTAGTTAAATTGCAAAAACAGGATGTTCAAATTTTAGTTGTAATTCAAGTTTGAAGTGAAAAAAATATTCACAAAACATTCTTCATTTCAATGTTTCTCTTTCCTTCTCTTTAGTTGTTTCAAATGATCAAATGAATTCTTGAATGGGGAAAAAGTGTTTTTAAGGATGCTTTTCAACTGTATGGGATTCATAAGCAAACAAACAATAATAAAACAATGCAAATAATTACGAAAAGATGAGTTGATTTTTTTACAGATGCAAAATCATGAATATATATCAACAAACATTACGCACAAATTTAAAGCAACAAAATGTTGTTACAAAAATACAACTCTTAAATTTTTGTTTACGTACAGTATTTCCAAAGATGACTTTTACTAACAGCAAAAATGTAAATACTTCTCTTAATAAATTTATGTTACATTTAAATAAAACATTCGCAACCGCATAATAAGCGGCAAGTATATGCCCTGGAACATATTAATATTTTTAAAATTAGAATGTAAAATGCGTTTAGAAAATTGGAAGCACGATAGAATGATCTTAATAAAAATTTGTATGATACTGGAAGACAGTAGATCAAGGATCCTGAACCTACTTTTATCACAGATTATTTTTTTTTTCATTTATCGAAAGAAAGTATACTTAAGAATGTAAATTCTGTAAGCCGAATTCTATAGAAATAGATTTAAATCTTATCAAAAATATTTTGTAACAGATCGAACATAGCATAGGAGAACTGCGTTTGAAGATTTTATTTTTAACACACCTTTTTGGTTTAATGAAAGACTACACAGTGCGTCTATAAAGCTTTAGGACTAATATTTTTGACAAACTTCAACAAACTTGTCAAAGGGTAAAGCATAGCATTTATTACTATTACTTCTTCCGATTCCTGAAGTATCATCTGCTTATGGATGAAAATTTCGATGCAATTAATTGTTTTCTTTTATCTAGTGAATATCTGCCGTCAGGATTCGAAATCTCAACAAAGAAGGGAAAAAATTGTTGTAAATTACGAAAAGCAACAACATAAGCATATATCAAACATTGACACAATCCTATGTTTCTCGTTGCTATGAGAAATCTCGCGAAGGGCAGGCAGATGTAAATGATGGACCCAAAAATTTTCGCCATTGGCTTTTCCTTCAAATGATAACAGATGATCTTACAAAATTGTTGGGAAACTCTTGTAAAAACAAACTACTGTTTCTATTTTCTGCTGCATGATAACTCGCCGTCACATAATTCCATCCCTGTTGAGCGAGCAACGAAGGGAAGCAAAGAACGGTTTCACGAATTCCAACCATCCCATCCTCCTTATTCACAAGATTTGGCCTCTGTAGACTACTCTCACTGCTCTAAAATGAAGTCTCTTCTCAAATGTTATTATTTTAATAGCACTGAAGCCAATCAAGAAAGCGTAACTTGTGACTCAGCAGTATTTAAAAAGATGAGTTCAAAGCAGGAATCAAGCAACTGTAGAAACATACTGTAGGAAAACGCGTTATACAGACTTACAAAATTATACATTGAAGATAAGTACAAATACTGTTCTTTTTTCAACTTTCGACTTTGTAAGAACGTAACTTTTAAAGGTTTTAGACGCATTGTGTATAGACATAACTCAAAATTTTTACTTGAAAAAAAATAATATTAAAACGCAGTCAGACTAATACATAAAACATGAAGCGTAAAATACGCTTAGAAGGACCGTATAAGTTATCACTAACTAATATCTTGAGAAAGCTAAATAATTGTTTCAAAACAGACTGATTGAAAACAATTACTCGAATAAAAATTCTATTCGTTTAATCTTTCAAATGCATTTTTTGCTTATTTATGAACTTTTTAGCCATTACACACAAAAATAAATTAAACAGAATGAAACACAAGCTCTTGATAATTTCGACGTCTTCTTTACAAAATCTTTCCAAATTAGTTTGACGATACAAGCAGAATCACGAATTTTAATCGCCAAAATATTTTGCAAAGAGTTTTTACACATTTATTATGGCTAATGCTTTCAATTTCTTTTCTTATAAGGTGATCATTTTCCCCACTCTCAGCCGTAATATTATTCATATAAATTTCGTACATAGTTTCAGAATCGTTGTCGTTTAAAACAGACTGATATTAAAGCATGTATTGGAAGACTGCTTATTATACCACGTACTCTACTTTCTAACGCTAATATCAAATTGGACCAATTTTCAGTGACCATAAGTTGAATAACTTTCACACAGTTTCTCTAGAATATCATGCTTAGCATTGAATTATAATAACGAATTAGTTTCGAGCTTTTATAATTTCTAAATATTTTCACGAACCTATTTAATGTTACTTTACACACAAAATTAGTACCCTTGTAAAATACTGTACAAAGTTTTTAGAAGCGAATTTTTGTTAGGGTACAAAAATTTAATTTTCAGACAGCAATTCAAATAATTCATCATTATAATATATCTATATATATATATATTATATATTTTAAGTGAGATTTTCAGAAGTGAATAACAGCTGAGTATAACTGTTAATTAACGCAAAATTATTATAGTTTTCAAAACGGTAATCCTTACAAAATTAATACGCATCAGACATTTGTAGTTGAGAATAGAAGGTGAGTTCACTTTTACTTGCTTGGAAGACACAGAGTACAACAATGGAAGACAGTTATCACGCAAAGTTTGGAAGCACAACGTCTAAAACTGGAAATCCTCTTACGGATATGTATCTCTAAAAGAGATTTTAAATTTTATGTTCTCAGACTATTATTTCTAATAAGAATGCTCCTTCATTTTCCTGGTGCATTTAAACAAGCGGTTATTTCACTATGAAATAAAATACTTTTCTGAATAGTAATAATTTACAAGGTGAAATTGATCAAAGTTTTGGCCTAAACATTCATGTATACCTATCTTTACTGAAAACTGAAACTGAACTCGAAAATATTATTCCCTATGACTTTCAAGTAGGTCTTACTTGAGGATAAGGTAAAGGAATATGGTAAGCAGCCACTAGTGCTTTAGCCGAAGAATATATGCCAATTATACCGCAGAAGACTCCAATACATATTATGAACACTTCCCAAGCTATTTCCCACCGGCTCATGTCGGTCAATTTAAGTTTCATGTGGAAGTAACAAGGCCACACAAAGGACAGCATAGTACCAGTAAAACTGCCTATGAGTCCCATAAGCAAAGCGAAGTGAGGAATTGATATCGCTAAAAGCAGTGTAAAGATGACCAAGAAGACTCTGAGAGCTACGGCCCATATTCGTAGTTCTCCATCTTGAGCCAAACAAGAGGGAAATCTTGTCTTGGGTTGACCACGAAACAAAGCTTGCTCTAAAAGATTGGCAGCTGCAAAATATGGAAGAGGGTACGACAACAGAGCTTTGACGACAAGGATAAGATTGACAATTACTTTAAATCCTTTGGTGGGCAAGTTATTGGTGATGACTTCTTGTGTTTCTTCAGCCCAAGTCAAAAAAGCGATCCAGGCAAATCCGGCTTTGAAAACGGCAGCAGATATGTGACTCCAGTTCAACATGCAATGAAATTTGGACCTATCTTTCATGCTGCCTTCCAAACTGGGCAAGAAGATCTGAGATGTGTAGCTAAAAACGACGATTCCTAACGTGACAGGAAACATCGATGTATCTATCTTGAATTGCACTTTAGACCATTGCCATTCCGGAGATTTAATCAGACAGAAGCCCAATATGATGACGTTGATGAGAGCGTGGGCCATTGTGCACCAAAAGCTGAGCCATGAGACTGCTGTTAACTTCTTCAGGAAAGCGCAGGGAAGCAAAAACATGGCGGATATCATCATCCACGAACGCTGATCAATGGGACCTTCTGGAAAGGATCCGATCATGAGGTCACCGCACAGAACGACGTACAAAATGCAAGTCATGAGCAATTCAATTATCTGTGCTGTGTTGACCATTTTTCCTCCATATTTTTCTCCCAAACAACTTTGGGCGATGTCGACATAGCTATCTCTCACTCTCTCCATCTCTCCTTTGTTGTTCAGTTCATACAAACAGGCAACTAAAATTTTCCCTGTATGACAGCAGATGTAAGCAACAAATGCTAGGGAGAAGACAGCCCAGTAGCCACCGTACAGTACAGAATATGGAAGGCTTACAATAAACATACCCTAGAAAAGAAAATATATATATAGGTTAGGAAACAAGTACTTAAGTAACGTCGATTTATTACACAAAATTTTAACGTACATAGAATGATCATCAATTTCGATATAACATTTTATGTAAGTTCATAAAACTGTTACGATTGACTATAGTCAAATTCTATCGTCAAAAAAGTCAATAAACTATCTTATTTGTACTGTATATTTATTGTTCTGATATACTCATTATGATTCATTGTTAAATTCGATATATTATATATCATTTGTTTATAAAGAAATTAGCTTAACACGTATATTATTCTTATATATAACTGCAGGAACTGAACTGAGACTCTAAGAGATAGATATAATGTTAAAGCGCCATCTGGATGAGCGCATGGAAAGTCGACAGGTTGACGATGGGTGAGAGCAGATGTGCGAAGTTGTGACGATTGTTTTTTTTTACTTTTCTCTTCATTCCAATATGTATAAAAAATTCCTAGTTTACCATTAACTTGATGAGCTGCAGTAGTGATTATTGTGATGCTTATTAATGATGTCTTCCCTACATAAATTTTGGTGTCAGAAGTCTAGATTTCCTGCCCGTAATTTGATTATGCTTAGTAAGGTGTTCTTATTAGCATCGCGTCTGGATTAGTAAAGTTCACCCATTTTCAAAAGGATTACTGGTGGACATTTCACATTTATAACCTTCGCTTTGAATGTGTAATTGCTTAAAGTGTAAAATATGCTTTCTGTAGAAAATTTTGAAAAATTAAAACGAAAACATAATGTTAAAAAGAGCAATGCTACTAAACTAATTTCACGAACTAATGTTGCTTTAGCAGAAGAAAATGTTACATGTGATATCTTACATAAACATCTAGAAGTTTTAATTGAAAAAAAATAAGTTAAAATCCTTAGATAGTCAAACTGAACATTACGTCGATATAAATTGAATTGAGGTAAACATGAGTACTGATCACCAAGAAAAAAGTATCAGGTGTACGAAGAAACTTCAACTTTTAACCGAAACAAAAAATTTGACTAACCCTTCAACATCTGAAAAACTATTAAGTACTCCGAATGATAACTTAAATTCACCTTCTTCAGTTAAACTTATTAAGTTAATAATCAAACCATACTCAGGCGACCCGAAATATTGGAATGAATTTTGGAATTCATTTGAAAGCACTATCGATCGAAATAATTGAAAGTTTGCCTATTTAAAACATACTTGACTGGAGGAGCATTGCATACAGTATCTGGTTTCCAATTAACTGATAAAAATTATGACAACTGTGTACAGTTACATAAAGATCGTTTTGATCGTAAAGGTATCATCATTCATTCTTTTATGAGTAAACTTTTAAACTTGCAAAGTGTTAAAATTCTTCAAAGGTTCCAGCTTTGAGCAAGTTACATGATGAGCTTGATATCGGTATACGAAATTTAGATTCAATGCAAGAGGATTAAAAATACTATGTTCCACTTTTGATTTCAATTGTTCTAAATTTATTGCCAGAAAATCTTGTTTTAGATTTTCAGCGGAACACAATTTCAAAATGTGATGGTACAATTTCTGATCTTCTTTTTCTAAAATGCGAAATTCAGTCTCAAAAAATTCGAGTAATTACCAGATATCCAGGTCTTACAATTGTAATGGATTTGGTCATTTTTCTAAATTTTGTCCAGGCAAACATTGTGGACCCAAATGTCTATCTTGTGGAAATTTCGATCATAAATCCTTCATGTCTGTCAAAAAAAAAGCGAAATGCTGAAAAAACCTTCCAACATCTGAAAACCTACTGTCACATCAATCAAATTTAATGCGCCGAACTTACTCCATAAAGTGATCAAAATTAATGATATATGACTTACAGCTGACATTGATACCACATGTGAAGCAACCGTTATGTCTAACGAAATTTATAAACACTTGGGGAATCCTTATTTAAGTGTGTTTCATAATATGTTGACTGGCTTCTGTAATGACAAAATTTAATGTAATGACATTTGACGCTATAATCGGCATGAATATTGTTAAACAAGGTGAAATTAACAAAGATGGTGTTTGTATTTCTAAGCATGTTGATCCGCAAACTGATCCGGAAGATGTGTACATCAATAATATTTTCCTTAGTCAAATATTTGAAATAGAAATACTTCCTAATACTAGGAAAGAACAGGTTACGATTATTGAAAATCTTCACTCCGAAGAATCCAAAAATGTGAACATTGAGAGGACTATTCAAGTAAAAGAGTAAAAGGTAAAACACCTATTTCTTACAGACCTAGACGATTACCTTTCGTCGATACAGACATTGTAGATAAACAGGTTCAAATTTGGTTAGCCGGCGGCCTAACTTATCATTGTTCTTCCGAATGTTCTAGTAAAGTATTAGTAGTAAAAAGAAAACTGGTAATCCTAGAGTTTGTATCGCAAACAAAGATCGGTATCTCGTACCATTAATAGAAGATTTACTGGATAAACTACAAGATTCTCGTACATTAACAATAATCAATTTAAAAAAATGCTTTCGTCCATGTTACTGTCGACAAAAACAACGATTTATACTTCGTTTGTCATAAATAATGGACAACATCAGTTTCTAGGTGTACATTTTGGTCTCTGAACCTCGCTTTCCGTATTTCAAAGATTTGTAAATTCCCTTTTCAAGGATTTAATCTTTATTTAGATGGTATCATAATTTCTTCTAAAGATAAAGAAGAAGGGATTAAGCGTTTGAAATCTGTTTTCTCAGTTGTGTCTGATTATGGACTCGAAATTAATTTTAAGAAATCTAAATTTTTGAATTGTAGAACTGAATTCCTTGCGTATGTCACCGAAAATGGTCAAATCTTCCCATCTCCTCTTAAAACAGCTGCTGTTATTAATTATCCTAAAACTAAAAGTCACAGAAACTTACAATGCTTCCTTCGTCTTGCCGTACGTTTTCTCAAATTTATTCTAAATTTTTCTGTACTTGCTCACCCATTAACTGAGCTTCCTAAGAAAGGTAAAGGCTTTCACTTTGGTGACAATGAAAAACGCTTTCAATCTTTTGAAACAACATTTATGTGAAAAACCTGTACTCAGCATCTATAATCAGCACAGCGATACCAAAACACACGCTGATGCCAGTATCTATGGTTATGGTTGCATACTCATGCAAAGATCTATGTTTGATAATTACCTGTCGCCTGTTTATTACACGAGTAAAATGGCATCTGATGCGGAAAAGAAATTTTTACCATTTATGAACTCAGGGTATTAGTTGTAATTCAAGCTTTGAAAAAATTTAGAGTTTAGCTTTTAGAAAAACACTTCAAAATTTTTACGTACTGTAATGCATTCAAAATGACAATAAACAATAAAGACTTGAATACACAAATAGCACGTTGGGCACTGATGTTAGAAGATTTCGACTGAAACATAATACAGAATGTGAACAAGAATGACACATGTTGACGCATTGAGCAGATCCCTTCTTATGGTTGTCACTCAAGGTAGCCTCATTCTGAAAATGTGAAGTGCTCAATAGCAAGACGATAACATTCGAGCTATCAAAGAAGTCTTAAAAGTTAAACCTTGTAGGATTCTCCACTGTGTATTTCTAAGCTACAGTGCAAAGTGAAGAACCTTAAGAACTAGTAAGCGAATAATCGCTTGAGTTCGTGAGATAGAAGACAACAAGTAAGAAGGGTGAAATAACCCTTTATTATTCCAACTAAAGTTTAACAAAACTCCGTCTTGGAGTTTTACAGTAAAGCCGACACTTGGGCTTAAGCTTAAGAGACTAAGAATTAAAACTAAACTAATCTTAACTAAAGAGATATAGCCGAAACTATCAAAATTCTAACAGAGTTGGCCCCTTAACGGTATTAGAATGAGAAGCTAACAAGGGCCTAAAGTACTCCTAGCGTAATAATAGCTTACGAGAGAGTAGCGTAATAATAGCTTACGAGAGAGTAGCCTAAAAAGGCGGACGTGCAACCAGAATATCTGGTATCTCTCTTTCTCTCTAAGAGAGAAGAACTTAGCGGTTAAATACCGTTCTTCCTCATTAGCGTTCAGACGTGATTCTAAAACTACGTTCTGGCTGGAAGTGGTAAGTTGAAATTAAGAATCGATAGGAAAGAAAGTTTAACTCAAAATTTAACTGTTAATAAAATTAACATAATTCGTACAACCTTATGATGATTATTGTGTTAAAGCCCATATACTTTATAAGTTTGTAAACAGTAACGAATTACTGGTTGTTCCAGAATCAATGCGAACTGATATAATTAAGGAAGAACATCTTTGTGGACATTTCGCTCCGAAACGAACTGAAGAACTCATCCAAATAAAAATTTTATATGCCTTAACTTTAATTGATAACTATATTGAAAATTGTGTTCCTTGCATATTAATCGTAAATGTTGAAAACAAGAATGTATTTTGTAGTCTATACCCAAACAAGATATATCACTTCATACATCGACTGATCATTTACTGATCATTTAGGGCCATTCCAAAGCATTTAAAATTACAAGTATATATTTGCTGTTATTGACACTTTCACAAAGTTAGTATGGCTTTACCCAACAAAATCTACTGATAGCGCCGAAACAATATCCACATTGGAAAATCAAAAATTGGTACTTGGAAATCCTTCGCGTACAATTTCCGGTAACGGCTCAGCATTTACTATAAAAGATTTTCAAGATTATGTTCAACCAACGATATTAAGGGTATTCATATTACTACAGAACTGCCTGGTGCCAATGGACAAATTGAGAGACTGAATTTTGTCATAATTTATGCTCTATACAAATTATCGATTCAAAATCCCTCATAATTGTATACACACTTTGGTGAAGTTCAGCAAGTGATTAATTCAACATGCCAACGCAGTATTAATGCAACTCCATTCGAACTCATGTTTGGAACTAAAGTGAAATCTGCTAATCATGACAAAATTACAAAGCTGTTAAATGCAGAGATCCAGTTAGATTTCGTCAACGCTCTTGATAACCCTTGC